CGCCTGTGCCTAATCACTGAAATGAACTGCTACTTCATCTCCCAGCTGGCTGGTTGATCCTCTGTCCTGCCCTTCCGATCGCCATTTTGTTTCAAGTGTCTCTTTTGCAGAGTCCAAATTGCCCCTTCTTTCTGCGAAACCCCATTCTGCCCTCCCATGCCTTTACCGTGTGGTTCTGTTCAATCTGTCATCTGGAGCACGTTTTATGGTGCTATTATAAGGCATTAAGCTGAGGGGCAGCTTGGATGAGATGCCACTGCATTGCTGGACACAGCAAACCCTGGAAGTTTGAGGCATAGCCCCCCCCCACTGGCTATCCATAGTGCCCTTTTCAGCTTCCATGTGCAGTGTATAACTTTTTGCAAGCTTTTGATTATAATTAGAAACAGAAGCTGTGTTATCTGACAGTCATATAGGACCTGATTTTAATTGGACACTGACTTTATTGTTCTATCCACAGCCCTAGCACCCAGTTGCTGAAGAGGCTGCAGTAAGATCAGCCAGTGCCATTTTCGATCTTACAGCACAGTAGTTGCCCACCACAGGCCCGGAGAGACAGCTCACTCTTTACACAAGCCAACAGGAAGCAGCAATCGTCTTTATCAGATCTCCCTCCTAAAATCGGCACAAATGACACTTAATATTTACGATAAAAGCAGATGGAATGATTTTGAAAGACGAGACTTTAAATCTCCACGATCGCTCTTGACTTCCGCTCCTTGACCTAAAGCTCTAAGGCTCACTTTCAGCCTTATCGCCACAATCACGTTTCCACTGAATATCAAAGTGTTTCTGTTCCACACCAAGCGCCCGGTGGATCGGATTAGTGCTCAGTGTGGCGGTCACGTCCCCGGCCTGGGAGCATCGCGTTTCATCTGCCATCCCCCGTCTCGACCCCTTCCGCCACATAACCTCAGGTCGAGTTTGCCTTGGTTAGACGGAGCTCCACGATCAACCTTAATACCCAGCCATGTCAGCGTTAGCGCTGTGAATTGAGGTGTCCTAACGAGACGTTACACAGGTCACCCATAATCCCGGTTGGGTCATGGAATCGTTACTGCTCGCTGCTGTGTGTCCAATGCAAACCGGTGAAATATAAGCAGGGTGTCCAAATCGGCTTAACATCTTTATAAAAGGTGTGGTGGTTTAGCAGTTAGCGCTAAGGGATTCCACACATAATGACCTAAAGATGCCTTTGGATACTCATGGAAGCACCACCTGAAATACACCTTCCCAACACCTGTTCCTCTTTAAGAGACAGGCATCAGGGAAAGGGCCTGGGGGCTTGGAGAAGTTTATAGCAAGTGAGACGTTTCCATTTGGGACCTCACAATGGACTGGCATCCTGTCCATGGTGTTCTCTAGCCTCAAACTCTGTGTGTCCCAGAATGCACCCCAGGCTCCTTGTGATCCTCCACTGTCTAAGTGTTTATGAATAATAGATGGTGTTTGGATTAAGGCAAAGAACTATCTACTAAAGTCTGATTTAAGCTGTCGCTAAAATCATAACACATTGCTCTGTATGTATTACTACAGAAGTTCACTTGGCTATTATTGAGCTGTGCTTTCTCCAGTTGGTAACCCAATTGAATAGGTGCTAACTGCTAGTAGTTAAACATTTTGCAAAAGGTGAGAACTTGATACATATTAAGCTATCATAATAATAATTGATCCCCATGGGGAAATTCTCTTTGTGCTTCCCCCACTTTGCTCTCTGTAGCTGAGAGCAAGTTGGCAGCCCCCCATAGCAGCTGGGGGTTAGGGGGCTTGCTCAAGGACCCACAGACGTGTGGGGGCTGGGCTCTGATCGCAGGCACAGAGGCTTAGCCCACTGAGCCACACACTGCCCCTTGTAATTGGCTCGGCCGGCATTTGAACCCGGGACCTCACACACCTGAATCATACCCCCTAGACCAACGAGCCATGGTATGAATTGAAGCATTGAATCTAATTATACATGTACATTGCATCTCTCATATGAAAATGAATTCATTGTGCGGGGAGTAGAGGAGCACAGACTGCAGTGCCTGTCACATGCAGATTCTGATGACACTGGCCTGTCACAGCTCCCAGGTGTGAACTCCTTTAATCCAACATTCTTGTTTGCAGTCATTTTTCAGTTTTGGTTTCAGCCGTGTTTCTCGCTCAGTCTTACATTCTCACATTTTTATATGGGCTTCGGTTCAGTATACAGGCCTGTGAAAGCCTGAATTATGTGCCAATACACCCAACACAGACTTACGGTGAATTACGGTGCTACTGTGAAGAGCTGAAAGCTATAGATCTTTCATTTCCTGGAGAGCAGTCTTCAAATAAACAAGATTATGGCTCATCGAAGCCATTGCTTTTTAATTGCAGACCTTAAAATCATTTAAGCCACCAAAATTCTATGTATAATGTAAATTGATGGCATTCCCACTGCAGTCCATTATTGGTAGTTTAGATATGTAAATAACTGGTAAAAATGGCACATCCGGCAGTACAGCTGGTCTATCATGCACCAATGGAAAATGTCTGTCGAAGAGGCTGTTTGCAAATCTTGTACAGTGATTCTCTGCAACTGGGGATTTGCCTGTGGCAAGACCAGGGCAGTGAATGAATATAGCCATATATATATATATTTGATTCTGATAGGTTGTGTCATATACAGAATAGTACAGTTCTCAATAAGAATTTGAGATGACTGTAGACATTGTCAAGATTGACCCTGGTATACCCCTGTAAGTTTCTGCATGTGTGCATACAGTATGCGCTGGCATTCAGTGTACTGTATATGCAATGAAGCAGGCCCTCCTTAAGAAACTCACCTTTAAGGAGATGCTTGGAGTAACATTTGTCCTTTGTAGTGATTTATCAGGCAGCTTCTTTCATTCGTTTAACAGGGACGTTTCTGAGACATTTCTCATTTTGACACCTTTGTCTCAACGTTTAGTCTCGTCTCAGCAGAGCGTAATAATGTAATGAACCTTTCATATCTCTCTTGTAGTCTGTGTCACAATTACTGGCATTTTACGACTGTGCTGTGTGTGAGTTTTTCATGGGATTCAAACCTGAGAAATGTGTATTTTGTTGCAAGGTGGATGCTTTTTGGCAGAGGGAAAGAGCCATTCAGATGTAAATGGAACGGTCACATGGTCAGTTTTCAGTGTCCAATCCGAAAGCACACACATGACTTGCAATGACATTGCAGAGTCTTCGATGCACAAACAGTGCCAAAAGGCAGGAGATGAAGCGGCCATGGGGATTTAATTATGAATTTAACTTCTGAATTTCTTGTGGATGCCGCTGAGGTTGAACTATGGAAGCAGGGATGGCAGAATGAAGAGTTTAAGCAATGCAGTGCTCCACCAACTTTAACTTAAACCGTGTGATGTGTGAATTTAGCCATTCTTGATCAAGCAAAAAATTGAACCGCTTTCATTAGATTCTCTTTGACTAGCCAGTGCCTTCCTGTCCGTTCTGAACAAGAATTCCTAAGCAGATAAGGTGATCCTCTGTAATACACTACAAATGCAGGTGATGTCATTGTTTATGCTGAAAAATCTGTAAAATATGCCTCTTCCTTGATTTTTTATTATAATAATTTCTGATTGCGAAAGCGACTTTTTCTGACATTCTGAATAAAATAGTCATATTGCATACAAATCATAAAATTTAATATAGCAAATCGTTGATCTTCCATTAATATTAAATGGTACTTAATGAGACAATCACAAGACTGCAAACTAGCGCAGCGATTAGAGGTCAAAGGAATAATAATTTTGGTTATTCCTTTATAAATGCATACATCTGGCTCCAGTCTCCCTGACGGGAGCTCTGTTCCAGCAACTTACTGGGCCATTTTTCACGGTATCACAAATTAAACTGCTGCTTGTGTCCCTCCGCACTGATTTATAAAGCGCTGGGAGGCTGCCGTGTGCTGTGGTTTCAGAGATGGCACAGCGCCGATCGGTATGACGCGAGAGGCTCCTATTTGCCTGGGGCTTCCCAGAAGCTCACAGATACCTTCTGCAGGTAGTTTCTGTTTGGCGTGTGTCGTAGCGGTTCGCTTCCTGTCCTTCAGGCCTCCAAGTGACACTCTTTCCCCAGCACCGTGTGCGGCTTCTCCGCTTCTGTTCTGCTCTCCACTAACACATCAGGGACACTGGCGTACCTCTGGGGGTCTCTGGTGTCCATGGCGAGGCTGTGAGACGTCACGGTCGGATGCCATGTGCTTTCTGGGATGGGCTCCAGGCTCACGATGACCCTCTAATGGGTACGAGTTTATGGAAAGCGGACACATTTATACTGTCCATCTAAAATTTCACCGCAAAGCTTTTGATCCTTTTATTTTTGCCTAAATAGACTGCCCCGCTTTTCCTCCTTTACGATCCAGGCAAAAACACACAGGGCTAGGATGTAATAACAGCAATAAATATTTCATTACACAAATTGGAATGCCGCTGTCAGCCAATCAGGTTTTACAGCCCACATCAGCGTGACATCATTCCCCGTAACCAAACCAAACTGCATCTGGTCATCAGATTCTCTGTCAACCTTAAAGAAATTCTTCGAGACCTATCTGTTCTAGGAGCACCTGTACAAGTCTGCACCAACCGAAGCTCCCTGAATGCTCTTCGTATTGCACTTGGTCGGTTTGACTTGAGTTACTATCTTGCCATTATTTTAAGCTGTTGCTGGCAGTATGATTTTACGGTCGGGCCCTTGAGTAGAGCCCTTGAGCACAAGTGGCCAGGAACTGGTTGACCCTGTCTTCTCAAAAATGTGCCTCACTTTGGATTAAAGCTAGTGCGTCTGCTAAAGCAATACATGTAAATGTAATGTTGTGTAGCTCTTACTCCTGTACTAATTACAGTGTAACTAATTCATTGAAAGTTCAACCTAGAGTCGACTCTTTGACATGTGATTGTAATGTGTTATCTGCCTTACTTGTATGTTGCTTTGGACAAAAGCATCTGTTAAATCATTTTTTATGTATTCATCTTTTTTTCTTCCCACAGCTTCTCTTGCTGGCATCCTGCAGGTGGCGCTATCCGCAGGTCAGGACTGCCTGCAAGCGGGTGACAGCTGCTCCAGCGACGAGGCGTGCAGTCCCCGGCTGCGGACCCTGCGGCAGTGCGTGGCAGGCGATGGCAGCGTGAAGCTGGGCCCCGGCGCACGGAACCAGTGCGCCAATGCAGTGTCGGCTCTGCTCTCCAGCCCGCTGCACGGCTGCCAGTGCAAGCGAGGCATGAAACGCGAGAAGAACTGCCTGAGCATCTACTGGAGCCTGCACCAGTCCATCCTGCACGGTGAGTGAGCCCTGAATCAGGGCGTTTACTGTCTCGGAGTGGGCCGGCGGGGGCCCACAGCTAGCCGATTAAGAATGGATCACATTGATCATATGGAAAACACTAATGCCTGTTTTAGTTCTGTAAACAGCTATTCATATAAAAATGTAATAGATGGCACCTTATGTGGTGAGAGTCTGCTGGCTATCAAGCATGAAGAGGATGTCAGTCAGCTTCCACCCAGAGCAGCCATGGCCCACGGGGGTGAGAGAGAGAGAGAGAGAGAGAGAGTGTCTGACTGGGAGGCAGCTATGGCTAATCATTGCAGTCGAGCTAAAATTACATCAATTAATCATAATAACTGTAGTTCTATTATGCCAGCTTGTGTTAGCTGCTGAGAGGGCGAAGTGGGGAATTTGAGTCACGATGATGAAGATGACGGAAACATAAGATGAGGCTCCACTCGTATTACAGCGATGATGCAAGTGTTGAGGAGACAGTACCAGTGAGGAGTAGTGGTGACTTGTGGTAACAAAGCAGACTGATATGGGTGAGAGCCACACCTGGGTGAGATTTACATGTATCTTAGCAAACGCTTTTTTTTTTTTTCCCCAAACCCAAAGTCAGCCAGCATTCCTGGTGTAACTGGGACTAGGAGTGATATGATTATGCTGCTGTCCATAGTACAGTAGGTACAGAACACCAGGCTTCGTAGCTGCTGCCCTGACGAAATGCAGGCCTTAGCAGGTATAGTGGCTGTTAGTTTGCACAGACATTTTAGTGATGGGTGGCGTATTATATATCAGTCCAGTTTCATGCCATTTGCAGGCATGAAATTAAGTGACACTTGCAGCATGGGAAACCTCGAGACTCCAAAGCATCTATGGTCCACGGAGGCCGTAGTGTTTTGGAAGTGTGTTTACAATAATCTGCATCACCAGTATGTTAGTTGTATGTCCATTCTGGATATTTTTAAGGATAATACAAAAAACGGCATGACTAAGACATTCTCTTTCACACAACGTGTCATCTTCTTCTGGTTGAAGTAGACTATAAGACACTATTATGTGAGGAGCCAGTAAACACTGATTGAAATAGATGCATGTAGTGTCGCGTAAAATGACAGGAAACAAGCCAGACGTACTCATCCAGAGGCAGAATGTTTGGGAATTGCATTATTTTGCCAAAATATCTGTTTTCGCTGGAGAAATATATTAATCCTGTCATATGAAAGGAGCATCTGTTCAGCCACATGTTTCGGCTCCACGATGTCTCCTTCCATTAATATTCTCTGTGTTGTGTGGTGTCGCTACTCTCAGTTTCTCTACCCCCTCCACTCAGCTAACCTGAAATACTCCCCACAGTGCTGAACCTCCCAAAGGAAGCTAACCTGAAATGAGCCCCATATATCTGAGGGTCTCACACCATGCTAACCTAAGAGGACTCCCAACGCATGAAATTTCCCTGGGACGCTAACCTGAAACGTTCCATAAAGCTGTAAGCCTCCCAAAGGATGCTACCTTGAAACGATACCCTTGTATCTGAGGGCCTCACAGCATGCTAACCTGCTACCAGCATGCTAACCTGCTACCATGTCCCTATGCATGAAATTCCCAGATCACGCTATCTCTCGTTCCCAGGACACATCAGTGACCCGGAATGTTTCAGTTTCACCACCAGGGTGGGCTGCTTTGACCTTGATGTATACCCCTGACGATCTTCAGAAATGATTTAGGATTTTGCACCTGATCCAACCCTGTTTGAAAAGCCCCTGTCTTGTTTTTGCCTGGGTTTGATTTTCAGGAAATGCTTTTTAGCTGCAGCTATGGAGAGTGACTCTCCTCAGTTACATTTCCCTCAATTCTTTCATTAATATATTATGGATAATCTAAGAAGAGAAGGGTGGCAGTTTTTACTTTTTGGAGATGCTTTCAAATAAAAGTAACTAAAAATAAAAAAAAAAAATGTTGTGCTTGAGAAGCAGGATTTATCATTGTGCTATAAGTGTCAGTATACAAAAGTTATTGGATTACTGATAAAACACGCAAGGTGGGAAGTGTGCATTTTTTCATAGCAACGTTTAGCTACATCTTCAGCTTCTTATGTGCAGACGGATGCTGAAAATGTGGAAATGTGAAAATGCCGACTGTGGGTGTGAGCGAAGGACTCAACATTCAATGGTTTGGAAATCGAGGGACTGGGCAGCTAGAGAGATTTTCCCTGGAAGGCATAACGATTTCTGTCTGTATCTGTCTTCCCAGGACTCAACTTGGTGGAGAGCTACCCATATGAAGCAGTCGAGAAAGGGTACGAGTACGTGCGTCTGGCCTCCATCGCTGCTGGTAAGAGTCCCCTTGGCATTTTGTGTGTCTTAATTATACTTACAAAGTCACTCTAAACCCAATTTCTCTGTCCTTTTTTGAATCATTTGACTTGACTGAGCTTGACTAAGTCGAATATATCATTGTAAAATAATTACCGCAATGAAATTTAAATTGTCATTAAGAAAAATCAACTTTTTATGAGCATGAATCTTGACGTCAAAATGTGTTAACAATGTTTGATCAATTAACTTTGAATTTCAAGAATTCTCAAGCAACTAATGATGCCCATTTTAGTTTATCAAACATCATGGCTGATTAATTTAAAATTAACAGTGATATGTGCGACTTTTAAAACATGTGCAATGTATGAAAGTTACAAATTAGCAGTTGTATATACTGTAGAATAGGTGCACTGTTTTTTTTTTTTTACTAGTATGAAGAAGTGATTACCATTATTAACTCGAGTCAGCAGGAGGTAAGGCAATGGTGAATATGCTTTGAGGAATGGTTTTTATCTGAGAAGTCATCATTCCTTTTGTTAAACTGTTTATGGAAATTTAAAATCTGTATCCCCCCCTCCAGAACAGGCACAGGCTCAGAAACTGCATTGTGCCCGTAAGCCATTTGGTGAACATCCTCAGAAACTGTAATTATCAATTACCAGAGCAAATAAAAATTTCTTGAGTGTCTTTAAATAAATTTAAGGAATCCAATAATTATTGAGAAAAAACCCCTCAAAATCATTCAGGAAACTTCAACATAAACTGATCGAGACCCATTTAAATAGTTTCACACTTGAATTCGTAAAATGGCAAAAGTGAATGCCAATGGTGGGCCGTGATGCTTCTTTTTGCAAAGTAACGTGTAATTGTTGGTTTTAATCTGGCTGCTGGAAATCTTAATAAAAAGAAAACGAGTAAGTCAGTAGTGCACGTTGGATAATTGATGAGGACAGGAAATACATTTAAAATAGAAAATAACTGAATTGTCTTTTAATCAGTAAATGATTCATTGTCTCTTCTTGTGTCAGTTAACTGTATATGTTGGATACATTTGGATATAATGTCAGTGTCTACACATAGCAGGTATATAGGGATTAGTATTTCCCATGGTCACCAATAAACACAGGCAACTTTAAGGCTTAATACACAGGGGGTGGACAGAATCGCAGAAACACCCAATCACAGGTTAATATCAAGCACCTGATAGAAGCAGGGTTGGCTTGTACCTTGAGAACAGCTCTGATCCTTCTTGAGAAAAATCCTGAACTGCATGTGAGGGGATATCGGAGCAACCTTCAGAAAGGAAAGCCTCCAGTTCTTTGAGGGTTACAGGACTTCTCTTTAGGGTGTGTAGTCCATCTGGGGTTTTGGTGAAATCATGCTTGAATTTGTTTAGTGCTGAGGTATCATTGTCTTTTATGGTATAGGGGAATATTTCTAGGGAACTGTTCGTAGAGTCAAATACTGCAATAGGAATCATGGGGATGTAGAAAGAAAAATTGCATTGGAGGCTAAAGATGACAATAAAAGTTTCTTCCAATATTCTAACTCCAAAAGAGCTCTAAAAGCTGAAATCACTAATCTGCAGCATAGTAAGGGCCTTATAATTGAAAATGAAATTGATATAGTAAATGAGTTTAATGAGTATTTTACATGGGTGTTCACAGTAGAGAACACGAGTAACTTACCACCAATTAGTACGAATTCAGCGTTGTTTATGACCAATATATGTATAACTGAGGCTGATGTGGTACTAAGCCTAGCTAAACTCAAAATAAATAAATCGCAGGGCCCTGATGGCATCTTACCTACTGTATAGTTTTAAAAGAGATGAGGGATATTATTAGCCAACCTTTAACTTTAATATTCCAGAAATCTGTGGTACCTTCAGATTGGAAGCATGCTAATATAACACCCATATTCAAAAAAGGGGATAGAAGTAATCCAGCAAACTATAGGCCAATCAGTTTAACTAGCATTACTGGAAAAATAATGTAAGCTATAATCCAAGTGAAAATGGTAGATTACCTGGATGCAAATAACATTCTGAGGGATAGCCAACATGGATTTAGGAGAGGTAGAGCCTGTTTAACGAATCTACTTGAGTTCTTTGAGGAAGCTACAAGTGAAATTGATCACAAAAAGGCCTACGATGTGATCTACTTAGATTTCCAGAAGGCCTTTGATGTTATCCCCCACAAATGGCTCTTGCTAAAGCTCAAAGATGCAGGGATTTTAGGAACTGTGGCAGCTTGGATCGAAAACTGGTTAACTGACAGGAAGCAGCGAGTAGTTATTAGAGGCACAATGTCACAGTGGGCCTGCGTTTATAGTGGGGTACCGCAGGGTTCAATTTTAGGACCACTATTGTTCCTAATATGCATTAATGATATTGACACCAATACATACAGTAAACTGGTTAAATTTGCAGACGACACCAAGGTGGGTGGTGTAGCAGATACTGATCTAGCAGCAGAGAGGCTACAACGGGATCTGGATTTAATTAGCAACTGGGCTGATACTTGGCAGATTAAATTAAATGTAGATAAATGTAAGGTAATCCATGCAGGGAGCAGAAATATAAAGTACATATATTTTATGGGTTCCACTGAAATAAAGGTAGCTGATTACGAGAAAGATCTCGGTGTGTATGTTGATGTTTCCATGTCCCACTCTCGCCAGTGTGGGGCAGCAATAAAAAAAGGCCAATAGAATGTTGGGTTACATCTCTAGGTGTGTGCAGTTTAAGTCAAGGGAGGTGATGTTACATTTATATAATTCCTTGGTAAGACCCCACCTAGAATACTGTGTGTGGGTTTGGTCACCATACCTTAAGAAGGACATTGCTGCCTTAGAAAAGGTGCAACGGAGGGCTACGAGAATGATTCCTGGTCTTAGAGGAATATCTTATGAGGAGAGGCTAGCTGAGCTGAATCTGTTTAGCCTTGAGCAAGGAGACTAAGGGGGGACATGATCCAGGTCTATAAGATTCTAACGGGTCTGGATGCTGTTCAGCCAAATGGCTATTTCAATACTAGAACTCGTGGCCATAGGTGGAAATTAGCGGGAGAACATTTTAAAACAAATTTGACGAAGCACTTCTTTACACAGCGTGTAGTTAGAGTATAGAATAGTCTTCCTGCTAGTGTAGCGGAAGCTAAAACCCTGGGTTCCTTTAAATCAGATCTAGATAAGATTTTAACAACTCTGAGCTATTAGTTAAGTTCTCCCCAAACGAGCTTGATGGGCCGAATGGCCTCCTCTCCTTTGTAAATTTCTTATGTTCTTATGGGATCCATACTGATATGTAACCCCCTCTTTGGTTAGCAGTCAGCAACTGGCTCTGCAGGCTAAAGCACTGCAGGTAAAAGCACCTGGCTGTGGGGAAAATACGACTTAATGAGTCATCTTTCAGCTTTTCTTTCCTCCCGCTGCTCAGGCTTTGTGCTCCTTTGACCAGATTTGCATCTTTGTGCCTTTGCCCCGTATACAAGCGTTTTTCACACACCAGCCCTGCCATTGACTCCTGCTCTGTGAAGCTCAGGACATACAGTGTGACTGAGTCACAGCGGTGCCAGTTTATTTCCAGCCTCTGTGATGGATGTGAGCTTTTAGAATGTGGAACTGTCAGGCATCTTTTGGTGAAACATACCGTTAATTGGCATTCAACCTAATATTTATCTGATTGTGGTTTTAAGTCGGATTCAGATGAAACCACAAAGTCTTTGTGAACTTTAACGTTCCAGGTGTTTGCTGTTCCACCGAATATTTGGAAGATGATGCGAGCTTATATGCAAAAGGCAGCACGGAAGAAAAGTAGGCTCTTGCGTCAGGATCATTTCTGGACGTTCATAAGTCATAGAGTAATGAGTTAATTAGTGATCATAAATCTCTGTCACTGTTCACTGCAATGTTTATTAGAAGACCTTCTATTTTTAATATACTACCTAAAGGCATCTGTGTTCAATGCTGGGAAAACAGCTCAGATAGGATAAAGGTGATTATGGCTTTAGCCAGAAGGAACATGCCAAAAAACAACCCATGACAGCAGCACATGCTGTGTAGTGTGTTGCAGGTGTAGCCTGGCCTCTCTGGAACATCATCCAAGCAAAAACGTGGAAGGATTTCTGCTTGGTATTGGTTAATTTCTGCTGTTTTATCAAAATGATGGCATTTTTTCATTTCTTGCTCCTGCCCACTATGGTAGAATGTAATTGCTAGTTACATGAGCAGGGATATAAAGAATATTCTCTTAATACCATAAACAAAAAGTACAGTATGAAATTAAGAAAAACGGCAGCCCACTGAGGGTGGTCCAGATGCACGTCCAGAGAGTGCAGTGATGGTGAAAATCGGGAGATGGAAGGCTTTGGTTTACACTTCCAGGAAGATCAATTTCTGCATGGTCCTATCTTTGTAACCCATGTCATTTTAAAGTTAAGTAGGTAGTATACATTGTATCATTTGTGTGCAATACTCACGTGTATAGATGTGTGATGACAACTTTGTGATAAGCCCACTGAGCAAGGCTGACGCGTGTCAGAGCATGGGGAGATGGTGAAAAACAGGAGATGGAAGGTGAGGTCGCAATCACTGAGAGCCAGGCCCATGACTGACGTTCATCCCTGGCTCTCCTCCTAGTTCTTTCACGACCTGCAGATGTCGAGAAGCCTACGCCTTGGCACCTCCACCTCACTGTCGTGAAGAGACTTTTCAGATTTGTTAGGAAGTAGAACACATCTGGAGTGCTTTGCTCAAGAATGGCACTATGAAATTATGGGCCATACCTATTGTAGTGGCATCTTCCATCTGGTCAGCTGGGTCACGCCATAAGCTCCAGGCATCTAGAACATCTGACAGATTGTGCCAGCAGTGGTCAGGATCTGAGGTGAGGATGTGTCACCGGGCCATTGTTGGAGATCCCCGGTAATGATGGCTCTGAAACGGTGCTACAAAATGACCCCCTGACCAGTACCCTCCCAGAGTTGGAAGCACGTGTCAGTCCAGGAGAGACCTGCAGAGGCCTGCAAGAAAATCGGGTGCCACGGTCGCCATGGATGACCAGGCCAGGCTTGGTAGTGTAGGCATCTGGAATCGTGACCTGGAAACGTTTAACTGTGGTGCTGCATTCCGTTGGGACCCCTGTCTGCACTCCGTCTGTCGGCGTCTATTAATTATGAGGTTGACCTTGAGACGCGAAGATATTTTAGCTAAAGATCAGGTGTCACATTTAACCTAATTAGACTTGATTCTAATGCATTTGAAGCCCATACGTGAATTAGTAATAATACACATTTAACCTATATGTCCCCATCTGCCTTTATCAGGCTCGGAAGTTGGAGTGGCGACAGTGAATCGCTGCCTGGATGCAGCGAAGGCCTGCAATGTGGACGAGACATGCCAGAAGCTGCGTACGGAATACGTATCGGCGTGCATCAAGCCGGCTGGCCGCGTGGCTCACTGCAACCGGCCCAAGTGTCACAAGGCGCTGCGCAAGTTCTTCGACCGCGTGCCGCCAGAGTACACGCACGAGCTGTTGTTCTGCCCCTGCACGGACACGGCCTGCGCAGAGCGCCGCCGGCAGACCGTGGTGCCAGCCTGCTCCTACGAGGCCAAGGAGAAGCCCAACTGTCTGGCTCAGCTGCGCGCCTGCAAAGCCGACTATGTCTGCAGGTGAGTATGAATGCACGCCGCCCTGTCTGCACTGCCAAAGTAAACCCTAATCTCTGATTCACTCGCACGGTGTTCCAGGGCACCTTACAGATGACGTGATAAACTTCAGCATGGAGCCTGAGGAGTTTTCTGTGCCAGCTCATCTCGTAATTCACACCCCTTTTAAAGATGAATAATTAGGGTCATCTGGGGTAACGGTGGAGAACTGGCAGTTTATCCCACCAAGTTCTCTTAATGGGTGGCAAATTGATACTTTCCAAACCTTTCAAATATTCTGACTGATACTCAGCAAGGTGGAAGCCATGATCTCCAAGTTGAATCTCCTTGGGAGTGGTCATGTCTTTGGGCAAGACATAGAGAACATTTGAATGACATACAAATGTTTGCCTGCCACTCTGACCTAAGGGCAGTGTTTATGAATGAATTACATAAATCTGAAATTTAACAAAAACACCTTATTTGGCCCTCAAGAAAATCTGGAAAAGAAGAAATAAATAATGGCTGAACAAAATGCTCCACTTCCTTTGTAGATCTGTAAAATGCTGTAAACTGTCAAGCACGATGGTGGTAGTTTGAAGTTACTTTACCAAATCTGTATGCCAGTGACTTGCCGAAGAAGCTGAAGAAACCATGAATTTCACTAGTGGACCATCCATCCGTGAGTTGAAGTCCAATTGGTTAATATAGCAAGAAAGTGACCTGAAATGCAAATCAGCAAAAGCAACTGTTTTGGACTTCCTTTGTTCTAATCCATATCCATAACCATGCTGGATGGTATAGTTATGAATGAGCTTTACTACTAAGGATGACATACCCAATCCATGAGTCAATGAGAGATAGTAACTTTTTTGCTTCATGTTATGACCTTTGTTAATGTTTTCACATTAGTTTATAAAGTAGAAAATGGTAAACAGAGGTCTGATTTTGAATGCGATGCCAACATCTTTGGCAATTTGTTTCCGGCTGTAAACTCTGAAGGTGAGGGATGGTGAATCAGACACTGGGGGTCGGGGGGGGGTCGGGGGTTGTTCTCACAGGCCTGTGTGGAGCACGCTGTTTGTCCTTGTGCCGTTGGCTGCTCACTCATTCACAGGCCGGTCACGGTCACAGAAGTGGCAATGACTAATAATGGCACAGGGAGTCTGGCGCCGTTTGGTGCCGGCCCTCTGGAGGGCGCCACAGAACGGGGCACGGGACCTTGGACCCTGCACTTCAGAAAATGGACACCAGGGAGCTTTGCTGTGCTGAGAATTCTGAACCACCTTTAAACAAGCTTCTGGCACTTATTAATGAAGCGCTTGGATGGCTTGATGGGTCGGTCCACTGCTAAATATCTCCAAGACCTCCGAACGGGGTGGGGAGTGGGGTCAAATATCGATGACGGTGCGTGAAGTGAGAATGCTAGGTGTGACTGGGTCGATGGCTTAGGCATGAGGCAAGCATGAGGTCTATTGTGATATCAGCTGGCAGGAGGGAGACATCTACTCAAATGATGATATAGACATCTACAGTACATGCACACGCTCAGTATCCTAAGGATACATGAGGCCTGGCCACACTCAGTAAGAGGGGGGCGTCTGCTGGGCCTTGTGTCTGTCTGGAACCTGGCCCAGGCTGCCTGATCGGAGGATGAGGGGGCCGCTGATAATCAGTTATGTCTCCCTAGGTCCCGCCTGGCACAGTTCCAATACGACTGCCAACCCTCTGAGCAGACGGCCAGCGGCTGCAAGCAGGACAACTACGGAGTCTGTCTGCTGGCCTACACAGGCATGATCGGTGAGTGCTGTTTGCTGGGCTACACAGGCATGATCGGTGAGTGCTGTGTGCTGGCCTACACAGGCATGATCGGTGAGTGCTGTGTGCTGGGCTACACAGGCATGATCGGTGAGTGCTGTGTGCTGGGTTACACAGGCATGATCGGTGAGTGCTGTGTGCTGGCCTACACAGGCATGATCGGTGAGTGCTGTGTGCTGGGCTACACAGGCATGATCGGTGACGGGACTGAAACTTACCAGAAGATGTCATGAGTCTCGTGTTTGTGAAAAGGCAGCATTTTCACAAGCTGCTGCACAGGAACAGACATAACGGAGAGGTGTCATGTTTCCCGTTATACCACTCAAGCGATGTGGCGAGGAGGTGGAGATGCTGGATGGAGCAGCGATGCCAAAAGACAGGTTGAAGGAAAAGGGCAAATGGAATGAGAAGAAAATGTAGATAATGGTGGTAGAGAGGTGATAGGTCATGTTTATCGAAATTGTTGCCTTATTTTTACACACAACCTCTCACCTCCTTCAACTTTTACTCTTAAACCAGAGAGATTTAGAGAGTATTAGTAATTTCGGTGGGTGTTCATCAAATTATCTATTGATTTTTATGATTTTTGATGTTTCTTTTGGAAGCCTTTGAGTGCTATAATATCTGCCAGGTAGAGCAGAGGATCTATAAGGATTTAGAGATTTCGTGGTGTACTTTGTTTTTTACAAAAATGTATGGTTACAGAACAATCCTCAGTGAGTTAACAGAACCACGGGCCTCATACCTCACAGAATGGTGAGCTTCTCGCTCCTCGAGCTTAACGCCTCATACGGACGTCATGTGCAGAAGGACGCCGCGTCTTTTGTTCCGTTTCCTGTCTGTTTGTGAGGATTTCTCGGGCGTCCCTCATTCTCAGAGTTGTATTTTTTTTATAAGATCATTATGTCTTATTAAGCACGGGCAGCCAATTTTCAGCTCACTTGAAAAACATCAGGAAATGATTTGGTTCAGATGAGTCATCGTCGTGATGATCTGCAGCGGCTTACTTATAGGTGAGGTGGCAACGAAAATGACTTTGATAGGACACTTTGTAGTGTGAGGGTTTCCATTCTGAGCAGTTAACTGAGGCCATGTACCCCAAATAGCCAGTCATTCTTGGTGAGGATCTCGCTTGAAAACGGATGGGACACAGAAGTCCTCCTGAGATGGGGCATCGGAGGAGCATGAATAATGCATTCAGTGCCGATGCAGAGGGCCGGCCACTTTGTAGGGGTCCCTGAATATGAAAAATTATAATTTATACGCTTGGGGAACATTATGCAATCCCTCCCCCCCTTGCCAAATTCAATCTTTCATGGGGGACCCGTATTTCCAAATTGATAGCGGCAGCCCTGGGGGGGGGGGGGGGGGGCAGAATGTATAACTATACCCCTGATGGGGGTCTGGGTGGCAGGAACCAGTGCTTCTCTTACGGGAGGTGAAAACCTTTGTCTCTGCAGGCAGCACCATCACTCCCAACTACATAGACAACTCCACATCCAACGTGTCCCCGTGGTGCTCCTGTGCGGCCAGTGGCAACCAGCGAGAGCAGTGCGCCGAGTTCCTGGATTACTTCACGGACAACGTCTGTCTCAGTGAGTGGCGAGTCTCCACCTCATCTGTAAATCATCCATCGTCATCCACACCTTCTACCAAATGATTACGTAGGAGCCGATTCCTCTAAAAAAAATGTCAGCTCAATTCAGGCACTTCTTATTGCCAACTGCTTTTTGAGTGCAGATGTAAACAGAAGTAGCAATACTTGGTAATAGCGGCAACTGTCATATATTCTGAGCAACTGCAAAACACAGCTTTCCAAATCATTATGCAGGCTGCAGTTTTGGAACATTCAGTTTAATGACTCAAAATAGAAATCGGGTGTATTTGTTGCATAAACATATTGTTCTTAAAAAAGAAGCATCTTAAGTGACTTAGTTACATATTAATGCACAAGACCTTCCTTGAAATTACTTTACCTACTCTCATCTGTTGAAATGCTGAGTGCATATATAGTGTCTGCCCCTATTTTAGTAGAAGATGCCAGTATTGCCTCCCAGTGCTGCCCTTTTGAGGTGACCTACCACCCATCCTTATGGATTTTCCTTTTCAAAATTCTCCATAATAGGGTTTTCAATAGGGTTGAGGTCAGAGGATGATGGAGGCCAAACTATGACTGGATCTGTGTTAATGCACCCTGGGAGTCATTGGTGTCCTTAGCAGCATGTGACGGTGCATTGCCCTACATGAAGGTCACACTATTACAAAAGGCACGACTCTTTGTATCAGGGCAGGAAATGTTCACAGATGTTGCTGGTGTCAGTTTAACACCATCAGGGACCCTAAAGGGGGGCTAGCATCTCACTTCCTGTTATTCCTCCCCAAAACGTCACTCCACCACCGGCTTGTTGATGCCTCAATCACTATTGACCAGCCATCCAAACACGAAGGTGTTTGGAGAATCCCTTCTCTTGTGTGTCTGAGCCCATTGCAGACGTTTATCTCTGTAGGTCTTGATGTGGGGTGGCAGAAAGGCAGGTGTATACATTAATGCCAGCAGCTGGAGGATCCTGCATGTTCTTGGAACTTCAGGGACACCAGCAGTCTGAAAAATCTGCTTGCTGCCTAACCGCTTCACAGCTGTCCTATTAAAAAGATTAATTTGTCTGGCTGAAACTGTACATAACGATCCTTTATCTGATGTAATTCATCCGGACTCTGAATCAATCACACATTTTTTTTCCAGTTTGGTGATCTCTTAAATTTTCCTGATTAATCAGTTGTGTTTATGTCTTTTGTAAGCCATTGCAGTATTTTATCTCCATATTTAATGAGAGCTATCACTGGCCAAATATTACTAGTAGGTTTCCCTTAAGATTAGCTTTCACACCAAATTTTCCAAATGGGCATGAAAAATGAACATGCAACAAGAAGCTCCTATTAAGTTTGCTTTTTGCTGAGAGTGTTACTGGTATCTTCCTTCCCAGTCCCATAGAATGTGGTGTTTGTCACTTATATGAGTTAGTGCGCCCCCTGATGGACTGTCATTCAGCAGAAAATGAGCCCGGTTTTGTATCCCGAGTTCCTTGTGATATGCTGCTGGCTCACTTCAAGTGTTCAGAACCCAGTGCTCAGGATTGATTAGAGCAATTAATTACCACCAACTGGCTCTGACACATGAAATGCAGAGGCCTGAAATCTATTGTCCAAACATGCAGACGGTATTAGCATGTGGCTCATGGCTGGCCTTCCAAAAATGTGCTCATGCTCAGTCAAGTGCATTTATGAAAAAAAGGAGTCAAGTTTGTCTTTCCAAACTGTTGAATGTGTCCATGGCTCATTTGCTGATATGGAGTCCTTGAAGACCACTTGAATCCCTATAATTGAAGATAATTAAATTTCCTGTGGAACTTAATGGGGCAAACAGGAAGGATCAAGTGGGATAGGACCACGTAGAGAGAAAGTTAATCAGTGTGCGAGAGAGACAGCAATTCCATGGTGAAACGTGCACATGTGCCTGTCTATGGCTGCATATTGGGTGGGGGGTCCTTCACCGAGGACATTCTTATGAAGTCAAGCCTGATTGCACTGCATTCCAAGGGGTCACGTGTCTCCTAGAGTCTCATCTCTCTCCTTTTCAGCTGACCCTACAGGTAGCAGTGGGGTTTAGGTTAGGGGACTGGGACAGTCATAGACGACTCTGTGGTCAGTTTCATGATTTGGAGGTATGTTTCAGGTCACTGTACTGCTGGGAGATCCAGACACAACCCAGTTTTACCTTTTTGGCAGAGGTGGTCAGGTTTTGATTTTAAATCTCATGGTACTTTATGTATTCCTTGATACCAGGCACCCTAACAAAGATCTCAAGGGTTCTGGGACCATCATCACAAATCCACCACCACACTTAACAGTTGGGGTCAGAGCCTTTAAATGCAAACTTTCTGAAATCTCATATCTCAGATAATCCACGATAAAGCAGGACTCCAAAGGAACAGGAGGCTGGCCTTATTATGGATTATGGCATGCAGGCTTTGCCGATCTGCTCCCCGGTGAGAGGGACACCTCATGTAGATGGGATGACACGTTCTTTCACGTCTCCCCCCCACTGTGTTAAGCATGTAGAAACGCTTACAGAAATGCTATCACGGCTTATCAGGAGGTGGCCTTTATGACTAATGACCGGCTGAGGTGAGATCTGATTCCCCTGACATGTAATCGTTCCTCCCTGGAGGATCCCACATCAGGGCTCTTGTCGCTAATTCAACCCCAGTCCCACCCCTCCCTCCCAAGCCATTATCAGATAAGTGGCAGTGAACTGAACCATAACTGCTGCTGTGTGATGGCTATTAGACTGACCAGGTCCAGTTTTGTGGCTGCTTTGATGGGCAGCAGATTGCAAGTCCTGCAAGTTAAGAAAACACAACCCTGATGTTCTTTTGTGGTATGTTTTTCAACAGAAGGATGCAAAAACTGTTACACTACTGAGGGAAGTTATTTATTTAAAATTTTAAAGCCTTGGAATGCTATGGCATATATTTTACTGGGTGACAATCTGATGATATAGGGACATGTTTACCACTGCTGCTTGTGCTCGTGTTCAAAAACAATCACAGCTGATGCCTGATTACCATTTGACTTTTTACTGTTTTAGGAATTCAAGTCTTAGAGAGCAAGGCAGATGTGGTAAAGCAGTCAATCCACTAGATGTCAGTAGAGAATCTGATGCGTGAAAGGATGACAATCCCATGTTGAAACAATGTGATGCTCTCTTTCCAAAACAGAAAATGCTATTTTGGCATTTGGGAATGGGACAGACCTGAGCTCCACTCCCACCCAATCGGGGCAGCCCAGCACGGTGCCGGATAGTGACGATCCAGGCGCCGCTCCTCCCGTCGTCATGGTGACCGACCGAAGCATCCTGAGTGCCATGATACCCACACAGGTACCCACATTGATACCTGTGTAAAGCTTCATCAATCAGTCTGTGTCTTGCTTGGCTGCTGCCCAGCAGGGACCATCACAGATTGATCTATTTGGTTAAGTGTTACCATGGCTAATCCTAAACCAGCACATCTGCTATGATAGGCTTACCGAAATCTGACAGCAGTGTCACCAGCAAAATGATAGGAGCTGGGCTACACCTCAAGCACTTCTCATCTTCAGCTCAGTTTGTCACTGAATGTACTCTTGTTCTCTGACAAAATCCACCCAACATGAGGTACTGTATATATGCAATATCCAGCGGGATGCACACCCAGGAGTGTTAACATGTGACACGGCTACCTGCTGGGCTGTTTTCTGAAGCACCTTGAGTGTGTAGACCCTAAGGCTTTTCCCTCCGCTGTGCTCATTCACTGCTCACTGGCTGCTCTTTGGATGAACGGGGGGTAGGATCACCTCCCTCGCTTCATCTGAATGCTAATTTCTGCATCCGTCATGATTTTGTGAACCTGCCCCCCAGTATCTATATATCTGAAGGTCAGACGAACAGATCATCTACCTTGTCGGCGCAGATGTTGGAGCCTGATTTCCCGTGACGAAGGGGCTGGCTGTGGCTCTGATGTCTGACTCCTCCCTTCCTCCCCACAGGCCATGGAGAAGGACAAGCTGTGGGGTGACCCCACCCTGCCGGCGGCCCCCATCCCCCCCAGCCGCAGCGATGTCGACGTGCTGTCAGCTTCCTGGACTGGACTTTTGCTCTCTGTGCTGCTGAGCTACATCCACTAGAGGGTGCTGTCCTAATTCAGGGGCCCCATGATTGAACTATGTGGGGCTAGCTGGTGGAGTATTACTTCTATGTCAGTGGGGAGAATGTGGAGCCCACCTCCCTACTGACTACCTACAGTTATCTCTTTTTTTGTTCTTTAATCTCAGAGGTCCAGCTGCACTTGTGATTCCTTGAGAGATGTGTACAAAAGCTTGCTCTGTGTATAGCCTGTCTATGGGAGCAGATGTGCAAGCTGGCGTAATGCCAGGTGTAAAATGTGTGTCTCACTCTCCGTTTTGAAGAAGTGGACTCCCTGTCAGAACATTCCTAAATGTTTCAGTTAAGCAGACTATCTCAGAGCTACCACCTCTGGATGCTCTGGCTGTATAGAAATGGTTCATGTCATCTTTTCTCATGCCCCATTCCCTGCAGGTGTGTATGGCAGAAGCGGCTGGATACTTTGGTCTGTATTGTTGGGATGTTTCTTGCTGCCACCTCCACTGGCTGTGAGATTGGAACTATATTTTTGTAATGAGTGTGCTTCAGTGTGGACAGTTATTCCCCAGCACCATGCCAGGATGATGTGTGACATCCCCATACACTCTGTGTACATCTACCCTCAAGGAAGACTGTACCATTTCAATTGGAGGAAGAGTACTTTATCGTTTTGAAAAGAATGTACAGTACCATTTATGAAGAGATATGAATATGTTGTTCTTCAGCTTGTAACAGTGCCACCTAGAGGGGAACTGATGGATGGTGGCATTTTTCTCCAGGCTGACAGAATAAAGGATTTCCCAATTAGGGGGAGCCGGTCCTTGAGTATTCCTGTTTAGCCAACAAGCCATTCATTCTAGTGAGCCAGCCGACACAATCAGCCATTCTAGCCAGCTTGCTATTTCAGTGAATCAACCAACCAGCTGGCTATACAGCCAGCGAGCCAAGCATTTAAACAGCCAGCCAGCCATTTCAGCCAACCAACCAGCCGGCTATACAGCCAGCCAGCCATTTCAGCCAACCAACCAGCCGGCTATACAGCCAGCCAGCCATTTCAGCCAACCAACCAGGCGTTTCACACTGCCAGCCGCCGATCTAACCAGCCAGTCTCCCATTTAGCCGACAATTTCAGTCAGCTGGCCAGATGCGATGTGTTGAAGGGGCACAGCAATGTAGACACTGGTACCCTATTGTCCAAGACATTGTTTTTTGAGCCCCAGAACAAAATATAAGCAATGAAAGTACCACAGAACCAGCATAACCCTATCTGCAGACTCGGTTCGGTGTCGTCCAGGTTGCGGTACATGAATGGCTTTGGCCTCAATGGTGTTGCTCTCCAGAACCTCCACTTTGTAACATTTGACACGACAGCTGCATTCCACTGGGACCCCTGTTTGACTGAAAGGATGCATAAGACCTGTACATTTTCTATTCATTTTTCTTTGCGTATTAGATCACTTGCCAATACCACGGTGAATAAGAGGCGAGCTCCTTCTAAAAACGGTCATTAGTTATGGGTTAAACTGACATAATTACAGCACTGTCCAGTGCAGAGCAATATAGTCATTTGAGTTGGACAAATATATATCTGGTGCCTGTTATACAACTCCCCACCTGGAGTAGTGCAGCAAAGGAAAAAATTACTTATCAGATGCTTTTGTTCAAAGTGACATGCAGCTGAGGATCAGAGAAGAGGTCAGACAGTGTTTGGGAAGCAATCGGGGTTAGCAGAGGCTTCTAACCAAAGCAGCGTACAATTAGAGCAGGATCAGCCAGTGCCGGGAGCAACTGCGGTTAAGGTCCTCGCTCAAGGGACCAACGGTGGTATTGCTCTGTCATGGGATTTGAACTGGCGACCTTCCGATCACAGACACACAGCAACAAACCTAGTGCCATCGCGGGAACCATGAGGTTAAAAACAGCCATTAAAAAGAACACACAAGGAACTGTAATTTATGATCTTTCAACACCTGTCAGTTGCTTCTAAGCAGGCGAGTATGTCAACTGGCTGTCAGGGCACATCCAATGCAGAAATCTGGAGGGAGGAGATGGAGAACATCCCAACAGCACAAATATTGCCTATAATGTACTCGAGGTTCTAAAGTTATCTATGAAATGAGTCGTGACTAGTCCACAGAGTCAGTCACGATTCCCTCCGAGTGCTTAATACTGGTCAATGCATCTTCTGAAATACGAAACGAAGTTCATATGCATTTTTACATAAGACATACCCCTCTAAACGTTCTAGCACACAACCCTTTGTCTTCCTCCTTCTGTAAGATGAACACAAGGGAACAAAAATAACAGTATGTGTGATCCAGGTCCTTTTATATACGAGATGTGATAGATCACAATTCCTGTTGGGCTGCTTTATGCCTATACAGTATTTTCAATCCTGTCGTGATTACATAAAATATAAGAAGCATATCCATGACCTATCAATCTTTCAGCTGATTATGCTGGTCATGGTGCATGTCTGTGAATCCCATCCACTGGATAAGTGATCAGAAAATGGATGGTATAACATTGTTGGTCCAGTACAAAAACAAACAGAGGTACACTGACATTTTACTAAGCGACTGCACAGCATGCGTATCCAGAGCCTGTGAAAACCCCATACTTATAATGCGGCCGCGTCTCAGCACCTTATCGGAGGCTGCTACAGATGGGGAAATGGAACAATGAGCACCAGATACTGAAACAGAAAATGAACAAGTGCATTTTCAAAACATTGACTAGTGTCTCATTCTTAGTTCAGAGCCCACCCTTAGCTTAAACATGTACCGGAGCCAGTCGATGCACTTCAGTGCACGTTCTTTAATATCAGTCGTGATTTCCGTTTTAATGCATGATGCCATAAGGGTTTTATTTTTAAGTCTGACTATAAAACTCTTCTGAAGACTGAGTAGAAAAAAAGAAACTATGTACAAATTGTCATACACTATACAGGGAGCATCTCTGCATGTTTTTATATACAATATAAAAAAAACATCTAAAAACAGGGATTCTCACTGTTTTGGGGAAAATACTAATGGCCTTTGGGTAAAGCGAAATCTCTGCATCTCAGAACCACTGGGGATGCGACAGGATAGGACAGGAAGAACACTCGAGACGACAGGATGGGAGAGAACCCATGTGATTAATGAACAGAAATAATTCCACAGAAATACAAGGCAAGGAGATGAAGGGACGGGATTGAACTTCCCCTGGAGAGCTGCTCAGCGAGGCCCAAACAGCATGTTCAATGGAAAAAAAACACGGCTCTGCTCCTTTCATTCAGCTTCTGGGAAACATGAAAGCAGGGGAGCAAAACGGCTGCCGCTTCTGCAGTGAAGCCTCCAGCGTTGGCGCATTTCCTCTAAAATGAGTGTCAGCAGGCTCTCAGCGACCCGGCGCAGGCTAAGCAGTTATGGGAGGTGCAGACATGGACAGATGCATGGACGAGCTGCCGTTATACTGCTTATACGACACAGATCTTGTTCTTCTGCATCTTCTTGGAAGATGTCATTTTTTGCTTCTCCTCACAAGGTCCAAGTACCCCTGCTGCTGAATTAGCCAGATGCAGTTAAGACTATTGCGAGAGCCATGAAAAACAGCCATAAACAAGGGCAGGATAGACTTGGCACAGGTGTTAACACACTGCTTTTGTTGAGACAAAGCAGTCAGCTGATGGTATTCATATCGCGCTACCTGTACGTCGAGTCCCTTGAAATTAGACATTGGGGGCAGCTGATCTGGTAACAGAGGCAGCCACCGAAGTGTGTTATTCCATTTCCTGCGTATCCTTTGGGACACAATCTGCAGATTTTAATGAAGGGTCATGGAGGTTGGGAGTTAGTTATTCCTGTCACCGTCATCCGGGGCCCTTTTGTCTGTCCTCAGGGGGGCTGACTGCCAGACGGTCGGCAGCAGGTAAATGGGGTCCCATGAGAAAGGTCCCTATTGGACACCAATGCACCCGCTCAGGGGGGTGCGGGCATGTTACAGGGCCTGTGATGTGTCTTGTGCCTAGGGTGCTGCCGTGAGACTAGCGGTGGGAGCTGGGGGGGTGGAACACCTGATGAGAAACAGAGCTGCGACCTGGAGGCTGGGTGGGTTCATAGTGGCCGTCAAAGGCCAGGCCATGATTAATGATGTCCCACTTTTAATTTCCCCAGTGGAATACTGAGCATGCAAAAGTCATCTCACTCGAGGGATCTCATCAGGTTTACCTTTGAGGTCAAGTCAACATTTTTCTCATGGCCCTATTGAACATAGCGAGTGACCTAAACAGCCAAGAGACTGGATAGAAGAGGTTGGACAAAAGATGTTAATCAAGTTAACGAAACAACTTCACTGTGACCTTCACACGGTATCTACCCACCCTTCAGATTCAGCTGTGGGCACACACACACACACACACACACACACATATACTGTGTGTGTGTGTGTGTGTGTGTGTGTGTGTGTATGTGTATGTATATATGGTATATGTTATGTATAAATAAGAACAAATAGTATTAAATACATAATATATATAGTAATAATTTGAAAAAATCATTTTTAAATCATACCATGCCAGGAAATGACAGGATGTAACTGGTGCAGTGAGGATGACTAGGAGAGCTGCATAATGTGATAGAAAATGGCCACTTTGAGGTACATGTCTGTATGGTAGCTGGAGATGTTAAACTCTTCTTGCCAGAAACTTTAACTCTGAAGTGCCTGTTTTTTCCAGAATTTCAGGGATTTCATCAAAGCAAGCTTTCTGATGGCAATGCTCGAAGCACCTCTCCAGGAAGGTGTCCAGAAGGCATCCTAAATAGATGCCCAAACCACCTCAACTGGCTCCTTTCGATGTGGAGGAGCAGCGGATCTACTTTGAGTCACTCAAGAATGTCCTTCTAAGGCTGAGCTCAGAGACCCTGCAAAGGAAGCACATTTTTAGCACTTATAACCTCAGTCTTGTGCTTTCAGTCATGACCCAGAGTTTGTATCCATAGGTGACGATAGGAACGTAGATCGACCAGTAAATCATTTGATTTATCTTACAACTCAGCTCTCTCTGTTCACCAAGACAGACTGGTACAATGTCCACATACCTGATGAAGCCGCACTGAATCCCTCTCCATCCTTCCCTCACTTTTCAACAAGCCCCCGAGACATTTGAACTCCTTTGCTTAAGCCAGTAACTCACCCCCATCCTGGAGAGGGCAACCCACCCTTTTCCAGTTGAGAACCATGGATTCAGACTTGGAGGTGCACATCCTCATGCCAACTGCTTAAAAATCACTGCAGCCAGCCCCAGTGAACACTGGAGGTCACAGCCTAACGAGGCTGCAGAAAACAAAAAATGCAATCCTGAGGTCACCAAACAGGACACTATTCACATCTTGACTATGCCTAGAAATTCTGTCCAAAAAAATTGAAATAGAATTGTTGACAAAGAGCAGCACTCACTGGGTATGAGTGTGACTTGCTGCTGGCAATGTAAAGTAAGCTCTGGTGGATGGTCCAGGGTTCTACAACCAGGACGAGATCTGCATTGTTTCTTCAACAAATTCACTGACCCTCCATTCTAACACCCTGTCACAGGCCTTCCTAGGAAGGCTAAGTAGTGAGATCCCCACGAAAATGCAGAAGACCCTCTGGTGCCTTCTGTAAAGAATGGGATTTCCATCCTAGTCTGCTAATCTAGAGGCACTGTCCCTGACCATCAAACATGTCAGGCAAGGTAGCCCAACATCATCTGGAGCCTTTAAGTACGCAGGGTGAATCTCATCCACTGCCAGAGCCTTGCCATTGAAGAATCTGACTACCTCAGCGACCGCAGTCCCATTGATGGATGAGTTCTCCGACTCCTTCCTCCAAGCAAGGAGTAAGTGGGATTGAGGAGGTCCTCGAAGTAGTTCTTCCACCGCCATACTATATCCCCAGTTGAGGTCAACAGCACTCCATCCTGCAGTAAACAAAATGGGCAAAGGCCCATTTCCTTCTCCTGAGTTCTGACAGCATGGCAGAATCCCTTTGAGGCCAATCAAAAGTTGTGTTTCTACAACTGTTAAAACCACACTCTGTTCAGCCTGCCAGTACCTGTCAGCTGCCCATGGATTCCCACATACAAACCACACTTGGAAGGCCTCCTTCTTCGGGCTGATGGCTCCTTTTATCGGTGTTCCATGCCGCAGCAGTGGAGGTATGGAGCATAGCCCATTTGGCCTCAATGAAATTGTGCGGCTGATCAAACAGAACACGTGCGGTTAGGACAACGGTATGAACCCTGATGATCTCACAGGGGAACCCCCTTCCCTGCCAATCAACACGGCCAAAGCCATGAAGAGTGGAGTAGAGCAGCACAGGTGTGGATTGGCTGAATGGCCATCTAACGGGACTGTAGCAGAGATAAAAGCCCGAGGTCAGTGGGGGAGGAAGCCTGCGGCACGTTTCCCTCCCGCTTTTCTTATGCACCAAAGCAGCCATGACAGACAGTAAATACCCCTGAGTAAATAGATGATGCGTTAATCACAGCGACTGTCAGCTCAGCATTTAAAGGTATCTCCTTATCTGAGCTCTGTGACATAATGCTAACAAATGGATAGTCAATGTGCTTCCCAGAGCACGGCCGCCCCGGCTGGATGCCATCGTTATTCCAGGCAGGTGCCTTAATTTATTAGGTTTGCCTGGGCTGTTTCAAAATGCTTACCTTGATGTCACATCCTTTAAATGCACAAGCTGGGGACGTCGGTCCATCAAAGGGAATGTGCCTGCACATATGCACACTAACGTGCACATGCAGCCGATTCAACTCGGAGCATGGGAAGAAGCTGACACACATAATTCAGACACCACATATTTGATAATGAAACACTCAACCCTGGGCAAGTTAGACTATAATGCCACCATAATGCCTGGATTCCCAAAAACATTATTCTGTAACACAACGGGTTTAAAAATGACTAGTAACTGACTGATCCCACAAAACGACTGACTGACCCACAAAACGACTAATGACTGACTGATCCCACAAAACGACTAGACACAGACTGATCTCACAAAGCGATTAATACCTGGCTGCCTCCCCAAGAAAACTAATGCTTCATTGATCCCACAAAGTGACTAATGGCTGACTGATCCAACAAAGAGACTAATGACTAAATCCCACAAGGTTTCAGTGGCTGTTCGTGAGCACAAACTACATCTAGACTAATAAGCTAAGTTATCTATTCTCCATGACACACTGCTGTTCTTCTGCAAAGCAAAATTATAGTCATTTTCTTTTCACAGTTTGGAAATTGTTTATGGCAACAGAAAATTGCAAAAAAAAAAAAAAATGTTTAAGGTAAAAAAATAATTCTGACCAAAAACTCAAATGACAAATGACAAATATAGCACCAGTGTTCTCAAAGAATTTGGATCATGTTATATTTGCATGACAGTAATATGGTCCATTCCATTATGTATGCTATTGCATTATCAACTGACAATCAAAAAGTCAAAAATTATTACAGCCGTAATCATTAGTGCATGTAATTATTTTGTTTTTTCATTCCATAGTTTTATCTCTAATATCTTGAGGAATATTAAACCAAATTAAACTGAAAAGTATTACAAAACTGGAATAAATCTGTAGCTTACATAACAATACCTCTAGTATAGCAGACAGTATCAATGCTAAAACCAGACACTAGATATAGTGCTTCATTCTATATTTAGCCTCTGGCTGCTAATTATCAATGTGTATATATATATATATATATTTGATTATCAGCTTTTGAGTTTGTGAGAAACTGATCCAGTGCTAAACAAAGGAAGTTAAACATAAAATAAAAATATATACAATCCAATTTGGATTTTTACCGATTTATTACAGACCCAAAATTCTATAACATTCATAGATTTCCATGTAGCGACATGGCTTTTGTTAAACCTGTCCTTTACATTATGCTGTCATCCATGCCTAAGCTTGTTTAAATAAGTTATTTTACAATACAAAAATGTTATTGACAGACGTTCCATGAGCTTATGCTCATCTCCTTCACAACATTTTCCCCATGGCAAAGAAATAGTTTACAATACTTTCTCCATATTTACAAAAAAGAGAAGAGTGCAATCGATGCTAATTTTTTTTTGTTTACATATTGACAAACTACGTCTTCCACGTCTACAGTGGCGTTTCGCGGGGAGAGATGGGAGGTGCTGTGGAGTCCAAGGGAGGATCAAGGTGAGTGACAAGTCGAGCTCTGGGGGTGGGAGCCCCTTTGGGTGGGTGGACATGAAGGTGAATACACAGACAAACACATGCCTTTGTCTAAAATACAAGCACAACTGCTCTATTCAGCACTGAAACATACAAACAGCACCTGTGCAGCATGCGTTAGAAGCCTTGGCCGTGCCTGTTCAGGGGTCCCGCTAACCAGCGAGGAATCGGTCACGCGTGTCCTGCGTACGAGCGATATGGAGACGATCCTCGGAGACGCAAAGCGCGCTGACAGCCAGCGTCATGTGACCTCACTGGGTCAGCAGCATAAGTGTGTATTGGGGAGGATTTTTTTTCCATTCAAACATATACATGTGATTTGTGTATTTTTTTTTTCTGGGGGGGGCTCCCTTGTTTTGAAAGGACTCTATTTGATGGAACAGAATGCCAAAAGCTTAGAGTGATGTAATACTGAGCCACTGTACTCTCCGGATAAGCGGCGCATTCCAAGGGACAAAGTATGTGTTCAAACACAGAAGGAACAAAACACAAAAACATTTTCTTTAGTTCTTCCCTCCTCGGAAAGTCTCAATTTTCTCCTTTGAGCAAATTGTTGCTGACGATTTAAAAGTTTTATAACTAGCGGCAGTCGTCTTGGAACCTAAAAGACTGTCTGGAAACAGAAGAATAAACACATCAATTTTGTTTCCCCCCAGCCTGTTCTGACTGAGGTAAAACTCATTAAAATGGGCTGTGACTCCCGATTGGGAGACAACAATCCCAGAGATAAAAGCAAACGCTTCCAGAAATAAAGGGACTCTCGGTATAGTCATGCTTGTGGCTTCTTCACTGTTTGACCCCATTACCTGGGAGAGGATACTTCACCTTCAGGTACATCTCCTGTAACATTATAGCCCCCCCCCCATGCAGCGATCATGGGACACCCTACCCCTCAATTCCAGACGTGGCTGACACGACATCATCATTTCCCCCTTCTGAACTAAGATGGTTAAAAGCAAAATTTGGCTAATACAACATAAGCCGCTTAACACAAACATTCCAGATTAAAGAAGACTTAGTCTGCCCCATAGCTGTGTTCACACATCAGGGGGAGATGTGTTCCGGGACACCTGAAATGTAATCTCCCATGCCCTGCGTTAGCCTCATCACCACCCATCACGATTATGGCCAATCCGACATAGTATGGCCGTGACCCCACTGTCTCTTCATCATAAGACAGGGAACAAGAATAGCCACCCAATCACCTGTGGGATTCAGAGAAAACAAACTTATCTATTAGCTTATGCTGGTGAAGACTTATGTGAGCAGAGAGACTGATGGGACCCCCCCGCCCCCCCCCCTCCCCCATGCGGCAAGGAGCTGCTACACACTGTGCATTGTCTTCCATAATGAGCTCAAACCAGTGACTGTGTACAGGGCTCCCTTCTGGTACACGGGACATCAGAAATCAGACACATGTCTAAAAACCATATAAAAGAAAATGTAGATATAATGACTGGATGGGAAAACAGCAGCTGCAGGGTGATGAAGGGAAGAAGAGAGCGGGAGGGGTGCAGGCGTCAAGCGTGATCCGCATGGCAGCCATTGCGCACCTCCATCTGTCCCACGTGGCGCGCCCTCGTCTCTGAGAGCATCTCTATCGTCCGTCGGCTGGGGATGAAATTGCGGCTCCCCACTTGAGGTCGGTTATTGCCAGGACTGAGTTCAGCGATGTCCACCCCTGCCGCGTCCTTCCTCGGGCTCCTCCCCCGGAAGTGCACGTCTTCCCCCATGGATCCCCGGGCCCCTCCCCAGTCCTTGGCTCGCGACTCGGCCGGGTGCATGGGATCAGATACAGGTGGCCGGCTGTGCGGGGGGCTGGTGCTTGCGATTCCGCACGGCCCCAGACTTCTCCTTATAGGCGACGCACATCTGCTGGGACACGTCCACCAGGGAGCTGGCCACCGCCAGCCCTGCAGCAGGGAGACGGGCACACAGGCATGAGACCCACAGTAGGGAGACCAGCAGCTAACAGATACACAGGTATGAGAGATGGGAAGTGGAGAGATCGACACAGGCAGGTGAAACACACAGAGACTGAGAGAGATACTCCAATACAGGCAGATGAGAAGGGGAGCAGAGAGACTAACACAGGCAGGGGAGACAGAGAGCAGAAAGACCGATGCAGGCAGGCAAGATGGGGAGCTGAGAGAGAGACCGACGCAGGCAGGCAAGATGGGGAGCTGAGAGAGAGACCGATGCAGGCAGGCAAGATGCGGAGCTGAGAGAGAGACCGACGCAGGCAGGCAAGATGGGGAGCTGAGAGAGAGACCGATGCAGGCAGGCAAGATGGGGAGCTGAGAGAGAGACCGATGCAGGCAGGCAAGATAGGGAGGTGAGAGAGAGACCATCACAGACAAATGAGATGGTGAAGCGATAAGAGAGACCAACACAGGTAGGCGAGACGGAAAGTGAAAAGGCAGACAGGCAAGTGAGATGGGGAGTGGAGAGAGATGGGGAGTGGAGAGAGAGAGAGACAGACGAGATGGAACAAACATGACAGCATGCCAGAAGGCATTTTCTGGATGAATTATGTGTTATCCTGCAGAATGCACATACCTATCTGCGGGTTTTTCCACATTTATCATTTAACCATTGTTTCTCTTTGACTTAAGATCGAAATGGTACGAATGTAAAGGGTGCATCGAACGCTTTGTAAACGCGGCATTGTTACACGCATCCAAAGCTGAAATCCAATAAGCCTCTCAGATGGAACGATTTGGGACGGGATGTTTCAGGAACAGTGTGTCCCAATCCGGGGAGGGGGGAGGGTGACAGAGCCACATGCGTTGGATGACGGTGCCCGGTGGCGTGTGACCTATAAATCATTCTCAAAAACGTAAACGATTAAGGCGATGGATGCACCCGTTTCACAGCTATTCCTGGAAGCCCTAGTGCAGGGGGCGGCGATGCCACAGAGCATCAAGCATCCACACAGCTGACAGATCGGAACCTCAAAATGAAAAGGTACAAATTAAAATCAAATTATTAAAGTACTCCCTGGAGTAAGACTAAGCAATCATTCAGAAAATAAACCCCACCACGAACAGCAGATCGTATCCACACTAAATTATTTAAAGATTCACTGCAAGGACCCATACTTTAAATTTATCAGGGGTGACACTTATGTTCTTACAGACCTGTCTCAAATGTCCCTTTTATCTCAAAATCCCTCCTGAAAATAAGACATACTTGGACACCAGGAATATATCTGAAGAATGTACTGCTCATGCTGCCAGAGCCACATCACCTAGTAACTTTCATTCACAGGCAACAGATGATCCACAGCCACCCAAATAAGCTTTGGTGTGACCGTTTCAAAAAGGTGCAGCATTAACTCTCTGGGGTCTAGGGGTCATGCTACTTAAAAATGGGCAAGAGCCATGTGTTCCCTTTAAATACCAGAATGTATGTGACACACTTTCACTGACTGGGGCATGATCACACATTTCTTCAAATATCATAAACTTAATTCATGGCAAATAAATTATTTCTTATATATTTGTTTTGCCATTACACTCATCTTTATTTTAATGTATATTGTAAATATGTCAGATTTTTGTTAAGTTTGAAATTTGACATCAAAGTATAGACATTGCAAAATGCAGTTTGGAACA